CAAAAACCCATCTCTCAAAAAATAAAAATTATAGGTATAGTCTCCAATTAGAGAAGGGCCACTTTCTCTCAACTAATATTCCCTTTCATTCTTCGTCCCTTCGCTCTTCTTTATTTTTCTACTTCGTACTTATCATCTGGTATGTTTACATTTATTGTTTTCTACATCCACTATAATATAAGCCAAAGCCAAGACTTTTTTGTGTCTTTTGTTCAGGACTCAATCCCCAGAGCCCAGCAGCTATGCTAGCAAATGTCATAGTAGGCTCAGTAAATGTTTGTTGGCTAGTGAATGGTCCAAAGAACGTGTGGCCTGTCCTTGCCATACTTAGGTATCAGTGGAAGTGTTCCCAAGGTCTATAACTTCTCTATGTGGGGAATTTGAATTTATTAGCTGCTAGTTAACAGCAATGTTGTAGAAACAATGCAAGCCTGAGATGGTGGTAGTGCTAGATGACTTATTTATTTTTTTTTTTGAGACGGAGTTTCACTCTTGTTGCCCAGGCTGGAGTACAGTGGTGCAATTTTGGCTCACTGCAACCTCCACCTCCTATGTTCAAGCTATTCTGCTGTCTCAGCCTCCCAAGTAGCTGGAATTACAGGCACCCAGCACCATACCCAACTAATTTTTTGTATTTTTAGTAGAGATGGGGTTTCACCATGTTGGTCAGGCTAGTCTCGAACTCCTGACCTCAAGTGATCTACCTGTCTCAGCCTCTCAGAGTGTTGGGATTACAGGTGTGAGCCACCTTGCCCGGCTGCCAGATGACTTTTAAGATTTCTTTTGGCTAGGCATGGTGGCTCACGCCTGTAATCCAAGCACTTTGGAGGCCAAAGTGGGCGGATCACCTGAGGTCGGGAGTTCAAGACCAGCCTGACCAATATGGTGAAACACCGTCTTAAAAAAATAAATAAAAATTTCTTTCTATCCTCAGGGTCCTTAATTCTGAATTATCAGCTGGTATAGCGTAGGCTATTTGTAGTAGAAAATCAGAAAAGAAAATATACTAGTCAGGAAAGACTATGAAGAAGGTAGAATGGGGCAGATCTCTGAAAGATGGCTAAGGGGCAGACGTGCAAGAGAGAATATTTTTCATACCAATCATATTTTCAAACAGAAACCTTATTTTGTTCAGAATGAACTTTGAGGTATATAATGGTAGAACCTTTGGTGAATTACACATTTTCTTTTATTATAGAAAAGTAAGTATACCTGACATTTCCCAAGATGTTTGTTACTTTTCCCTGGAAAGCAACTATAGGAATTAAATACAGTGCCAATTTACTAATCCAAATTGTTGTGAAAGTCATTTGGGTTCTGATTTGGGCATGAGATAACAGGCCATTATTTTTCCAGTGTTCGTAATTTACCAGCTTGGAGCATTCAAGTCCATAGTAGAACAGTAATAAGGACACCATGTATTCCAATAGGTTAAAGGTCAGAGGTGGTTGAATTCCAGGTCTGTGTATAACATAAACTAAATACCTAACTTAGCACCTTCTAAGGAAAGGCAATTAGTAGATGACTTAACAGATGCATTTTTAATGAGGAATCCAGGCTACTTGTAGCACATTTGCTAGTTTTTCTTGTATTCTAAACAACCAGAAACTTAGGAATTCTGCCACACTTTTCATTTCCCAGTCATCTGTGTTGGTTGGTAGGATAGTCTGAGGATTGCGATTTTTTAAGTCTATTCTTTTGCCCTTTTACATTGTTTATTTTTACTTTTTTTTTTTTTTTTTTTTTTTAAGATGGAGTTTTGCTCTTGTCACCTAGGCTGGAGTGCAGTGACATGATCTTGGCTCACTGCAACCTCTGCTTCCAGGTTCCAGCAATTCTCCTGCTTCAGCCTCCCAAGTAGCTGGGATTACGGGCAACCACTACCACGCCCAGTTAATTTTTGTATTTTTAATAGAGATGGGGTTTCACCATGTTGGTTAGAGTGGTCTCTAACTCCTGACCTCAGGAGATCCACCTGCCTCACCCTCCCAAAATGCTGGGATTACAGGCATGAATCATGCGCCTGGCCCCTTAAATTGTTTTAATAAAAGACCTTGACCATACATGGTGGCTCACGTTTGTAGTCTCAACACTTTGGGAAGCTGAAGCTGAAGGTCAGTTAACTTCAAGACCAGCCTGGGGCAACAGAGCAAGACCCTGTATCTACAAAGAATAAAGAAATGAATAAATAAATTAGCTGGATGCCACTGCCTGTAGTCCCAGTTACTTAAGAGTCTGGAGTGGGAGGATCACTTGAGCCCAGTAATTGAGGTTACAGTGAGCAATGGTCATACCATTGCACTCCAGCCTGGGTGATAGAGCAGGACTCTGTCATTCATTCATTCATTCATTCAGCCTTGTCCTTTTTTTACCTGTCACCTTTATAACTATGAGTTTATTCTACTTCTAAGATTATATTCCTTGTTCAGTAAGACCTATGGGTAATACAGTAGAAACCTCCTAACTAGTATTAACAGTTGGTCAGTTGTGGCCAGGCATGGTGGCTCATACCTGTAATCCCAGCACTTTAGGAGGCTGAGATGGGGGGATCACTTGAGGTCAGGAGTTCAAGACCAGCCTGGCCAATGTGGTAAAACCCTGTCTCTACTAAAAATACAAAAATTAGCCAGATGCGGTGGCGTGCACCTGTTATCCCAGCTACTGGGGAGCCTGAGGCAAGAAAATTGCTTGAACCCAGGAGGTGGAGGTTGCAGTGACTCTAGATTGTGCCACTGTACTCTAGCCTGGGAGAAAAAGTGAGACTCCATCTCAAAAAGAAAAAAAAAAAACCCCACAATCGGTCAGTTTCATTAAAATGAGAAATTCTTCTAGTATTAAATTTTAATACAAAACATCTAAGTGTGTATTCCTTTGATGCAGAGAAGTGTGATTATGAATACACCAACTTGAGGTCCAGGTCAACTTACTTCCATAAACTATATCAAAATGCATTGTCTTCAGTTTCTGGTTTTCTTTTCAATTTTTTTTAAAAATTAAGATATACAGATGGAGTTTTGCCATGTTGCCCAGCCTCTCTTAAACTCCTGGACTCAAACTATCTTCTCACCTCGACCTCCCAAGGTGCTGGGATTATAGGCCTGAGCCATCATACCTGACCTGGTTTTATTTTAAGTTAGCACCACAATGTGGGTATTTGAAAAATGACTTAAGTAGATAATCCTCACTTTTATTATTAATTTGCCTGACCTATGGACATAGTTTTTTAGGAGCTCACTTTTAGTGTGTCTTTCTAAAGCATAACTCCTTCTGTGTTTTTGCATTTGCATTTGGTCAGTTAACATAATATTTAATTATATTATGTGAAAACAACAAGAACAGCTGTCATAAGCAGTATAGGAACACAGCTGACTTTCAGCAAACATGCAGTTACATGGCTGGGAGCACAGGTAAGCTCAGGGTAGCTTGTGGCCTCCAGTGTTCAGTGTGCTGTGGGCCCCACCCCAGACGTTTTTCAGAGGAGATGCATGGTAACATGGTGAATCACTTAAGTAGGGGCTCCTTCAGAGAGCTGCTATTGTGTTCATAATCAAAATACTTTACCTCTGTTAATTAGGCTTCGTTGATTAGATAGCTAAAAGATTAAAAGAACCAAAACAAATTTCTAGGTTTCTGTCATTGTCACTTAAGAGAGAACATGTTGGCTGGGCATGGTGACTCATGACAGTAATCTCAGCACTTTGCGGGGCCAAGGCGTGAGCATTACTTGAGGCCAGAAGTTCAGGACCAGTCTAGGCAGCACAGTGAGACCCCCATCTCTACAAAAAAACTTAAAAATTTAAAAAAGGAAAAAAATCATTTCAAATTAGCCAGGTTCAGTGGTGCATCCCTGTAGTCCCAGCTGCTTGGGAGGCTTAGGCAGGAGGATCACTTGAGCTTAGGAGTTTGAGGCTGTCACGGCTTGTGCCATTGCATTCCAACCTAGGTGACAGAGTGAGACCCTATCTCTAAAAAGAATAAAAATTAAAAAGAGAACATACTGAGAGTTACAAATCAATACCCACCTTTGTCCATTTAAGTTGTATCTTACCTCTCTTCTTTTAATCTCTGCCACAGCTGAAAGATGTATATTATCTTAATGATTATCTTTAAATCTTTAGATATATAGGATCTTAATGATACTCTAGATTCTAGATCTAGAATGCATAGAGAAAGGAAAATCCTAGAGTAAAATAATGGATTATATCAGGAATATGTCAAATGTAACAGAAGTAATCTCATTGAGTATTTTTGTTTGTATTTTTCTAGGCAATCGATAGCATTCATCAAGTGGGGGTTTATTGTCTTGCTCTGGTGCCGGCCAATACGTTGCCAAAAACTCCGCTAGGAGGAATCCATATATCGCAGACGAAACAACTCTTTCTGGAGGGATCGCTGCATCCTTGCAATATCCTCATGTGCCCACATACATGCGTGACAAATTTGCCAAAGCCCCGGCAAAAGCAACCAGGTAACATGCTGACTTCCAAGACCTAGCACTAAAATTCCAACTTCAAGAAGCGGATTCTCTCAATATGATTCTTTCTCTAGAATTAGTTTATAAACACTTTGGGAGGCCAAGGTGGGAGGATTGCTTGAGCCCAGGAATTTGAGAACAGCCTGGGTAACATGGTAAAATCCTGTCTGTACAAAAAAAATGCAAAAAATTAAGCCAGGCCTGGTGGTGCATACCTGTAGTCCCAGCTACTCCAGAGCTGACAGAGGATGGCTTGAGCCTGGGAAGTTGCGGTGAACCAAGATTGTGCTATCGCACTCCAGTCTGGGTGACAGAATCAGACCCTGTCTCAACAAAAAAGAAATGAGTGGAAAGGGAAAATGGAAAAGGTTTGTTAAGGCAGCCCGGAGGCAAAGATATCCTTGAGATGCCTTTGGAGCTATTGTGGAAAGAAAGAATGTGTTTGTTAGGACTAGTCTTGGCTGCAAGTTGCAGAAAAACATAGTAGCAGCTCAGGCAAGAAGGAAGCTTATTTTTTTTTATTCAGTCTCCATAGAGACTATCAAAAATTGCCAATGCTGACTATATTTCAAGTCATCATGGCAGGGTATTGGGAAAAGTTTTCAATTAGCAATAATCATGCCTCAGATAAACCTCATTGGCTGCAATACTGCCACTGCACAAAGCTGCAAGCTTATTTTTTTGTCAGGTAAAAGAAGTTCAGAGCTAGGTAATCCAAAGGCTAGAATAGTCACTCCTCAGTCATGTTCTTCCAGCTTCCCATCTTTTTGCTTTGGTGTTATGTCAGTCAACTATTATAGATATGCTACAGAACAAACAACCCTAAAACTCAGTGCCTTGAAGTAGCAAGCATTTGCTTCTTACTCATGGAATGTGGATCTGTTTGGCTTGGCTGGGATCCTCTGGACTGGACTTGGCTCCAGGCTTATGTTAGGTTCAGAGCCGCTCCATGTGTCTCCTCATCATGACACCAGCAGCTACCTGGGCCATATTTTTTTCAAGGCAGATGGCAGAAGCAAGAAAGCAAGCCAAACCACATGAGCGTATTTAAAGCTTCTGTTTGTGTCACATGTTCTAACATTTCATTGTCCAAAACAAGTCAGACCTTGAAGTATACTTCTCCCATCCAGCCATAACTAGGACAAGAAGGAAAGGAAGGATATGGGAAAACAAAATAATCTGCCACAGCCATCCTTAGCAACTGCCCTGGGGCTCATTAGGCTCCCCAGCCTCTACATCCAAGCCAGCAGGTAGGAGGAAAACATAAAGAAAGAATACTCTTTCCTTCAGCATATTTTCTAGAAATGGCATCTATTACTTCCTCTTACATGTTATTCTGCCACAGTAAAGAATATAGTCTTTATTCCAGGCATGTGTCCAGCTAAAAACTGGGATTTCTGTTATTAAGGAAGAAGAATAGAATAGATACTAGAATTGATAACTAGCAGTTTTTGCCATAAGACGTTTACAGAATTCTATGGGAAAATCAGAAGGCATATTTACAGGTACAGCAGTGTCTGCAATTAGCTTCTTGGAGTTACTGCTTTTAGTATCTTTCATTCTCTGTGACCCATAGATTCAAAGTGCACACAGAAGAACCTGAAGGAACTGCTGCTGAATTAATTTTATTGTTTTAAACTACTGCAAAATTCACTTTTTACAATACCATGTCTTTATTTTATAATGTGAATCTCGGATTGCACAGTTTACGTAATCAAATGCACTCTGAGTCCCTGCCTGTATAAAAGGCTGTCTCCAACATGATATAGCTATAATTTATCATGAAGTTTCTTAGGGTGGAATAGTGCATATTTACTTAAAATTGCAGTAGATGCTTTGTAGACTAAAATTTTAACTTTTTTTAGTTTTTTTGTTTTAATTTTTTTTTTTTTTTTTTTGAGATGGAATCTTGCTCTATCACCCAGGCTGTAGTGCAGTGCATGATCTTGGCTCATGGCATCCTCCACTGCCCGGTTCAAGCGATTCCCCTGCCTCAGCCTCCTGAGTAGCTGGGACTACAGGTGTGTGCCACTACACCCTGCTAATTGTTTTGTATTTTAGTAGAGACGGGGTTTCACCATGTTGGCCGGGACAGTCTTGATCTCCTGACCTTGTGATCCGCCCACCTTGACCTCCCAAAGTGCTGGGATTACAGGTGTGAGCCACCGCACCCAGCCTATTTTTAAATTTTTTAAACTTTCCATTTTGAAATAATTTCACGCAAAATAGTTGCCACATGGTACATAGATTTTTCTTATATCCTTTACCCAAGTTCCCCAAATATTTACCCTTTGAAAATTGATTATATAAGTGATTTTGTTTCATCTGTTTCAGTATATTCGGGATCAACAGATTTTGATGTAATAAAAGATTTTTAATATTAATTCAGTATAGCATCAGCATCATTTAAAACCTAGCTGGCAGTAAGCTTTGTTTTATCATCTTTTTGCCATCTTCTTAGTCCATAAGGCAGATGACCATCAAGAGAGGGACACAACGCCCAGCACATTTTTCTAGAGAGGAATTGGGCTCCCCTGTTTATTTTGAAGTGTTGAACCTATGAAAAAGTTAGAAGAATAGTACAGTGAGGAGCACCCATTTAGCCTACCCTAGATTTGAGATAGTCTTGCTCTCTTGCCCAAGCTGTAGTGCTGTGGCATGATATGGCTCACTGCAACCTCTGCCATCCAGGATCCAGCCACCAAGTACCAGGGATTACAGGCTTGAGCTACCATGCTGAGCTAATTTTTGTATTTTTAGTAGAGTTGGGGTTTTGCCATACTGGGCAGGCTGGTCTCAAACTCCTGGCCTCAAATGATCTACTCATCGCTGCCTCCCAAATTGGTAGGATTATAGGAGCAAGGCACCATGCCTGGCCTTGCTGACATTTTTTCCCTGAGCTTTTTGTTTTTGTTTGTTTGTTTGCAGACAGGGTCTTAACACTGTTGCCCAGGGTGGAGTGCGGTGGCACGATGTCATCTCACTGCAGCTTTGAACTCTGAACTCTGGCACAAGTGGTCCTCTTACCTCAGCCTCCTGAGTAGCCTGGACTAAAGGTGTGTGCCACCACACCGGGCTAATTTTTTTTATGTATTTGTAGAGACAGGGTTTTGTCATGGTGCCCAGGCTGGTTTTGAACTCCTGAGCTCAAGTGATCTGCCTACCTCAGCCTCCCAAAGTGCTGTGATTACAGGCATGAGCCACCATGCCTGGCCATTATTCACTTTTAATTGAACAAATTTAATATTCTGGATAAACTCCTCAGGCCTCGTAGATGACATATTTCTTTCCAGGCCAGGTATTCTTTATTGACCCTCTTTAAGGGTTCTATTATGATTGGAGAATATTAAATTATTGGTAGGAACCTGTGCAACCAGCTGTCACCTCCTCAGAGTGAAAACTTCTTGTATACCCCAAACTACAATAGCTGCCTGCTCCTCTCCACCCCAGTCCCTATCCCTCCTGTGTTCCTGTTTTTTTCCAGTACTTCACACTACTTGTGTTTATTTATTTGTGTATGTATTTTTTGGTTACCCTTCTCCAAAATGCAAGCTCCTTGCCCTATTTGCTCTTGGGTTCCTAGTGCCTAGAAGAGTGCTCAGTCAGTATTGTTGGACGAACATTTGATCCAGTTTTGGTCAGTCTGGAAATGCTCTGGATACTTAGTTGGAATTGTCATCTTCAGGGAGTTGGGTTTTGCGTTTATTTACAGGTGTAGGCCCTGCTTCCGTGATGGTTGGGAATCTGGTTGCTGGAAAACGCATAGCACAAGCTGCTGGAAGGGACCTGGGACAAATAGAAGAAAATGATTTGGTGAGGAAGGTAAGTGTTCCTGAAGTGTTGCAAAGGACAGAATTTGCACTCAATTCTGGACAGAATTTTAATTGCAGGTAGCAGCTGGGGGATGCATTATATGACTTGTTATATGTTGCTGACCCTGAGTCCTTTTTCTGCTTTATGAATTCAGCACCAGTTTCTGGCAGAGATCTTACAGTGGCGAGCCCAGGCGACTCCTGACCATGTACTCTTCATGCTGTTAAATGCCAAGGTATTAAAAATGCAATGGTATATCTAATCAGCCGACTACCATAGGAGTATCTTAGGGGCTCTTTATCTCTTTCATCAGAAAATTTCTGTTGTCACCTCTGAGGAAGAGTTATAGCTTTCTCCTTGCTTTGACATATGAGGATAAACTGCAATCACTTTAAGGTTGGAATGAAACCTCCTGGAGTGCTATATAATACCTTCTTTTCTTATGGTACAGTCACATCTTTATTCAATTCTGATAGGAAAAATGGAGCCAACAATGCAATTACATAGATACATAGATGTTCAGAATGCATTATGTCATACAGTTTTTTTTAACCCAATTGGACTTTTAATTCCTGGATTTCTGCTAGGAAGAAAATGACCTTAGACCAGCATTTTAAAAACCTAAGTTATTTCTGGTACTTAATTCGTAATTAAATGATTTATTGCTAACAGATAAAAAGAGTACATTTAACTACTGGCTTCCCATGGATGGTTCATTATAATATTGTATTTTAGGACTGGGCGTGGTGGCTCATACCTGTAATCCTAATACTTTGGGAGGCTGAGGCAGTAGGTCACTTGAGGTTAAGAGTTCAAGACCAGCCTGGTCAACATGGCGAAGCCCTGTTTCTGCTAAAAATACAAAAATCAGCCAGGCGCGGTGGCAGGTATCTGTAATTTCAGCTACTCAGGAAGCTGAGGCAGGAGAATCACTTCAACCCTGGAGGCAGAGGTTGTAGTGAGCCAAAATTGCACCATTGCACTTCAGCCTGGGCAACAGAGTGAGACTCTGTCTCAAAAAAAAAAAAAAAAAAATCAGCCAGGCGTGGTGGTGGGCACCTGTAATCCCAGCTATTTGGGAGGCTGAGGCACAATAATAACTTGAACCCTGGAGACAGAGGTTGCAGTGAGCCAAGATCATACCACTGCACTCCAGCCTGGGCAACAGAGCAAGGCCCTGCTCAAAAAAAAGAAAGGAAAAAAAAAAAAAAATATATATATATATATATATGGTATTTTAAAGCTATTCATTCTGTGGGAGTCAGCTGAATTTTGTTTGTGTTAATGGCTGACTCATAGGCTCAATGTCTGTGACTTATGGACAGTAGTATTTCTCACCAGAGTGGGGAAGACTGGAAGCGCCTATTGGATCTCTTAGGGACCTATCCATAGTATACCCATCTCTCCCATCCTCCTGGAATCTGATTTTTTTTTAATGCAATAATAGAACTCAATGAGAGGAATATGCTATGCATCTTATTAAAAATACTTTAAAAATCTTAAGAACCATTCCTTTTATGACAGAAAATTGGGGGACTTCCTTGCTTCACCTCTACATGAAGTGGGCTTTTCTTCAAGCCCACAGATTTATTAAGGTTCTCATATCTCATTTAAAAATGTCAGCCAGGCACGGTGACTCATGCCTGTAGCCCCAGCTTCTTGGAAGGATGAGGCAGGAGGATGGCTTGAACCCGGGAGTTTGAGGCTGCAAGCTGCAGTGAGCTGTGATTGCATCATTGCACTGCAGCTTAGGCACCAGCATGACCATGTCAGAAGGAAAAGAAAGAAAAAAGAAAAAGGTTCTATTACATGTCTTTTATTTTTTATTATTATTTATTTTGAGACAGAGTCTCA